GAGGAAGCATCATTTCCTTGAAATGGTCATTCCAGGAAACCCAAGGGGTTCATACCCAGAGTTACCCCACTCTGACTCCACCGTTGTGTTTTATCAACAAAAGGAATCTTATCATCCGGAAAGGAAAACAGAAAGGGCCAGCTCCTGAGAAGACACACACACAACTGGTGATGTATCTCTCAGGCTCATCGGAGAACTAGTCTGAATTCGTAAAGGACACACCTAATTTTGTTACTTCGGTGTCATCGAAAGATAAACTGCAGAGCCGTGTCACGGGAATTTCTGGGAACACAGTTTAAGCTCTGTGACCTCAGTCTTTGTGCGACATGAACTCTACAGTGGCGGACAGGGTGGTCACGTGGACTCGGTGGGAGCTGCAGTGAATCTGGCCCCCCTTGGCTCCACTGGCCCCCCTCGGGTCCACAGACCCCAGGGACACGGGACTATGGGAGGGCAGGTTCCCCCAGACTGAAATTCCCTGTGGGGCAGTTTCCTTCAAAGGTGTCTCTTAGGACAGCAGCTGGTCTGGTTGAAAAGAATCCCTAAGCAGACTAACTGTCCTTCCCACCAGTTCCCTGTATAACAATAGTCGTCTTGGAATCTGGTGTTGATTACCCCCCAGTGCACCTAAGATAGCTTCCCAGAAGGCTCCAGAACGCCTGCCACTGAACAGCCCACAGCCCCTATTGCATAAGACAGAGTCTCTCAGTGAAATGACCGTTTGAATTTCTTTTGCACATTCTGTGCACACAAACATCTGACTCTGGTCTGGGATTCAAACGATCTGGTTAGGACTAAGCTATTTCAACCCTCCTGCCGGGGGAACTTGCTAGTGTAAGGTAAGACTGGGCTCTGGCTTGTGTTTCCTGCAGGGCTAACTGCTTGGGGGAAGCGTAGGTGCCTGGGTGTCAGGTGACACTAACCTTCTACCTGTCATGTCTAAAGTGTCGCTAAGCTGAGGGCCACCTTGGCAGACGCTCCTCTCCTCAGTGCCCCATCTGCTGCCTCTAGTGGTTTGGGGGTGGGACCAGGTTGGGACAGGGCCTGTCCTAACAGAGGGGGGTTGCAGCCCTGGGCCACCACGCTGCCCCAACCGAGCAAGCTCACCATCTCGGGACATCCCCACGGCGAGACATTTCTGCAGCCGACAGTGCTGGCAGCGGTTCCTACTGGTCCGATCAATCAGACAGTTCTTCTGACGAGGACAGGAGTAGGTGGCATTGCTTTGCTGACTTCTCCTGAAAAAGCCCTGTGATTCAGTTATAAAATATAAAACAGGTTAGTGTCAGTTCCACGGGTACGGGCTACAGGCAGTGTGCTAAGTGGGAGGCGGCATCAATATTTAATGGAGAATTAAACCTGCAGCAGAACCATCCTGGAGATCGATAATGAAATTAAACTCGCTTCTTTCTCCTTGAGTAAAAGCGATCCCCAGAGCCCCATCCTCCATCCCTTACACACGCCAAACTTTAACTTGAGGACCGCTGCTCATGTCAAAGGCACCAGCTCAGCTCCTGTTCTTGGCTCCTCAGGACCAAAAGCAGGGTGTTTGACGGGACGATCTACAGGGATCTGTCTCTAAACTTGATCTCCCAAGTGCTCTTGGTACAATAAACGCCAGCATTCCTCTGGGATTCTGGAGTTAGGAGGCAAATGCAACCGTGCAGCCACCCCAGTAGCCCCAAGAGATCACCGTAGCTGAGTTGGGGTGGGAACCTCCTCAATCCGGGTTACTCTGGAAATACCAGGGCTCAGAATGCTGGCTTTCAAGATGGAGCAGAGCCAAGCGGATGCTCCTTGGGTTTTTTTCCTACACATTAAGCACTGCTTTGGAAATGAGAGGTTGCACCTAGGGTCACAAGGAGCTGTGCACAGACCTTGAGAATTCTGCTTTTGGTTCAATTAACCCTATCTCAGCTCACTGGTTTTCAGTATTTATTCTTCAATAAAGCCACACGTTTTTTGTTAGGTATGTCTCGCCAGAAACCCGTAGGCTTCACTTTCCTTATCATTCGCTTGGAAGCGTCATTTTCCATAACTATCTTCTTGAACCCATCTGTTCCTCAGAAACACAGTTCTTATTTTGCAAATACACGAGGGGCCGGGGTTATCTTTTGGTGGTTTTAAGCCAGGCGAGACACAGAAGTGAGGTAACTGACCACAGTCATTTCTATGATGCACAACTGCGAAGGATACGCAAAATTTTAGTGCTGTTGAAGCTGTGAAGGTTGACAGCCCCTACAGGAGGACACAAGGTGACGGGGACATCTGGGCCTGGGGACCTGCAGAATGGTGCTAGGGTAGCCCCTCGGAGGGCACCCCTCGGAGGGCACCCTCCAGAGGCCAGCCGAGCAGGTGCATCCAAGCTCTGAGAGCCACGCCTACTGCTGGGCGGTGAGGGCCTTCCAAGGTCGTAGCCTAAAGGGAATATTCAAAACTTTACCCCGATCAGCCTACAAGGACCTATAATACGAACAAATTTAGTAGAAGGACCTTCGATGTCCAACATGAGGGAACCGGAAGTCTTACTGTACACCCCTCAGGGGGGAGTCAGCCCCTCGTACCCGATGGTTTTCCAGAGATGCGATTACTGTTAGAGGTGGTAAAACTATACTGGTGAAATTTTAAAAAATCATTTACTTATTTATTTGGCATAGGGTCTTGCTATACGGCTCGGATTCATAGTGATTCTCCTGTCTTAGTCTTCCCAGCACTGGGATTATGGGGATTATGGAATGCTGTACCAGGGATAAACCCAAGTCGTTGCACTTGCCAGGCAGGTGTTTTAACTGCCAAGCTATTCCCCCAGCTTCTGTACTGGTGAATTTTTATAAAGCAGCTAAGGAGCTCAACACTACAACAACTTTATTTATTTTTTATGTATTTAGTACAGGGTCTACAGGGCCTCAGTACACAGATTGGACTTGTGATTCTTCCTGTTTTTCAGCCTCCCAAGTGCTGGGATTATACGCGCGTGTCACCACACCGTTTCAGGCAGGCCGGGGATTGAACCCTGGTCCCTGCGCCTACCTAAGCAGGCACTTTAATCTGCTGCGCTATCTGACAGGCCCACTATAGTAATTTTAAAAAAAGAACCTGCGTATTTAACTTAGAAGAAAGTTTGGAAACTTGTGCCCCAACGTGAGAAGAAGCGTTGGCTTGGTGGATGTGCCCCAGACCATTAACTTTTCCTGTCTGTTTTCTGATTTTTTCCTGTACTGTTCTAGTGGAAACACTTGGAAAGAGCAATCCGCGCCTCTGCATCCTTGGGGGGTGGCGGCCCTTCTTGGGCTGGGGTGATCTACCCGGTGCGTGTGACAGCGGTCCCCAGGTCCTAGCCTCGGGGTGGGGGGCCAGGACCCGCCCAGCCCTCCGCTCCTATCGGCTCCCTCTGGGGTTTTGCTCTGCGGTACAGGGGATTGAACTTAGGACCTCTGCGGTGAGCTCCTGCTCTTCTTGTTTTCTGTTTTGCTCTGAGGCAGGGCCTTGCTAAGTTGCTCGGGCTGGTCCTGAACTTGAGATCCTCTTGCCTCAGCCACCCGGAGTGCTGGGGTGGTAGGCCTGCGCCGCCATACACGGTGGTGACCTTATCCTGGGCTTTTGATGCTCTGCTACCAGCAGGCCTGGCTGCGTCTGGGCATCTGGGAGCCTCCGTGAGCAACACATGCGGCTTCCTCCACGTAGTCACTGCTTCCGTGGCCGAGGGTGGTGCGGCCCGCAGGATGGTACCACGTCCCGCATTTACAAGGACGGTCCTGGATGCCTTCTTGACACACAGGGAGGCAGGGCCAGGCGTGCAGGGCATGTTTCCTGCCTGAGCCCCACTTGCTGCCATCCCTGGTGTCCTAGGACCCCTCCATGGCAGCACTCCAAAGCAGCCTCCTCTGGGCCAGTCAGGGTAAGTCCCACACGGGGCAGTACTCCTCTCTGTGCAGCCCCTGGGCTGGCCCAGAAAAATGGCAGCAAACAGCCCTTCTGATCCCAGGTTGGAAGGTTTTTGTGCCCGGATCTTAAAGATTGTTCTACTTTGTGTTCCTGCCCTGCTGGGCACTGGGCCCAGGCCACATGACGCTCGCAGCCCCTTTCCCTGTCTCCACCCCACAGCCATCTGGATGACCACACTGTCCCCGTGAGGCCCAATCAGGGGTCCTGAAGGCGCCAGAGGAGGAGGAGGGCACGGGGACTGCACCGGCTTCCCAGCCACCTCTCTGCAGGTTTGCGGGTGCACAGGATCCCTCGCTCTTCCAGGGGGGTGCACTTGCTAGTTGTCAGGGCAGGAGGGCTCTTCCCTGGCAGTCTGGAGTCTCGTGGGGATCTGCAGTGGGGGCTCGTGGGACTGTTGGGCCACACCTGTGACGAGAGGGACGGGAAAGCCTCCAGGACAGAACCCCGAGCCCTGCGCTGCAGGAAAATGAATGGCGTGCTGCTTTCTTCCTATACGCTTCTTAGAGTAGCACAGAGTTGCAAGGCCTCATGGGTACAGCTGTGTGGGGTGTTGGACCCCACATGTCTCATCTTAGTCCCTTCACTTCCAATCCTGGTCCCCCTCTCTGCAGGACGCCTACTTCCCTGTTCCCCAGCACATTATTTCGCTCCATAAATAATTTCTGCACTGGAAACCATATCGGTGGCTACTCTTCCGTGTTCGGTACACTCTGCTTAGTTCTGTGGACTCAAGATGGACTGTTTTCCTGCGGCTGATTCAGGCCATCCTTCTTCAGGGCTGAGTGCTACTCCACTGTGTGTGCACATGCACCGTATCTGCTTTATCCACATGGCTGCTGATTAACTATAATTACAGACAGCTGCTTTTTTTTTTTTTAAAGCCTTTTCTTTCCAGCATGCCTCAGGGGTCCGGGCACATGGGAGACTGAGCTGATAACATTAAAGCTAAAGCAGAGCCCTGAGAGCGCAAGGGTGGAGAGAGGAAGTGGAGGTACAGGTGGTGCTGTCCGACCCCCGGGTAGCAGCTGGGTCTGGTCTAAAGGCGAGCAGTCCTGGAGCGGGTGGCCCCGAGGAGGAGGACCTGGGGCGTGGGGCTGGGCAGTCTGAGGGTCCTGAGAGTGCGGAGCAGCGCACACCGGTACCAGACCGCGGCGAGGGCCCGAGGGCCCACACCCGAGGCTGCGAGCTAGCCAGGCTGGCTACTAGGTACGTAGTTGGCACCTGTGTCTGAAGTCTAAAAACTGAGCTGCTGAGGAGCTCTCTGGTTTTCACAAAAGCGTGCTTTTTTTTTTTTTTGCAGAACCGGGGATTGAACTCAGGCCCTTGCACTTGCCAGGGAAGCAGCTTATTCCACTGAGCCATCTCCCCGGCCCCAAAAGCGTGCTTTTTATGGCTATGGAAATACCTGGGGGTGGCACAGCTATAAGAACCGAGGGCCAAGGCAGCAAGGCTACAGGGCGCTCAGCGCGACAGCGGCACGCTACTGCCACCTGGTGGCCGCCCGTGAACTCGCAGTCATCCCACAAAATGGTAGAACTGGACCCGGCCTCCCTTCTGCAAGGGGAGTGGGGCTCCTCAGGCAGACGGCGTGCCAGAATGGATGGGAAGGTTTTAAAAATACACCTTGGGTTTGTTACCCTTGGCGATAGGGCTCAGGCATCCATCTTAGTGCGAAAGCCATGCAACTGCCATTTTTAATGGGTCCAAAAAGAAAAAACCTGGCAATTTTGTCCAGTGAACGTTTTAGCAAAACTCCCCTGAAGGGCGTACCTTGCTCTTGTTAAGACTCGGAGATCGATTCCAGTTTTCTGGTTTTGTAGAGCACAAGCGTGGAGCTTGGGATGCTGAATGATTGCTGAAGCCCCCACGGCTGGTACTGGAACTGGGGCTCAGGTGCCAGCGCCCCAGTGTTAAGTCCTGGTCGCAAGGGAGACGCAGCTTCGGGCCCCTCAGCCCCTGTGCGCCAGCCTCGGCCCCGAGGTCTGTCCCTGAGAGGCCTCCTGATAGTGTTTGCCTCAGTTCGTCTCATTTTAAACAGCCTTTCGTTGTGTTTTGTTTCCCGTGTCCCCCGTTCTCTGGGACGTCTCCTCCCTGATGCTCAGAAGCAGCCCAGCCCAGCTGGACACTGGGCACGTGTGCACCAGCGCCCCTAGACTGGGGCTCCCCAAGCGAGGACCGTGGCCAGTGTATCAGGGGGCAGTGCACACAGTGCAGCTGGAGGCTAGAACTTCAGGGGATTTGTGGTCAAATCCAGCTGCTTCATCATCATTAAAAATAAGTACCATTATTTTACCGCTGTTCATG